ACCATAGATCTAACCTTAATCACCATAGCCGTCGTCTCCTTGCCTCTACTACCATCCGCTTATTGCCGCCGTCTCCACCGCCATAACCACCGCCATCTCAATAGTGGATTGGAGTGGTGGAGAACGAAAGAGACAGAGAGAGATAGCAATATCAAAAAATATAGAGATAAAGATTGAGAGAGAGAGAGAGAGAGAGAGAGAGAGAGAGAGAGAGAGAGAGAGAGAGAGAGAGAGAGAGAGAGAGAGAGAGAGAGAGAGAGAGAGAGAGAGAGAGAGAGAGAGAGATTGCGAGAGAGAAGAAAAAAGAAAAGTAAATCTGAGAGAAATGTGACTTTAGAATTTATGGAGTTAGGTTAAGGGTAAATTAGGGATAAAAGAAAAATTGAGAATGTGACTCATATTTATTTTTCTAAAAATGATTTAGTTCATAAAAAAATATTAAGGTTGAATTCCACATCTAATTATGTTTCCAACTAGGGACCTCTAGCATAATATCCCTATTTTTTTTTTCTTTTCACGTTGTTGTGAAGTTTTTTTAGAACTCAGCATATTGTGGTTCGTGAGATCATTAAGGATTAGAGAAAGTATTAGGGGTTAATTATTAAAAAAAATTAAGAGGATAAATGTTCATAACACATAATTTGCAAAATGTATTTATAAAAAAAAATCTAAGATATACATTTTGTACTTACGGGTAATTTTGTCATTTGCACAGAAAATTGACGAAAACAAAAAAATTCAATTGAAAGCAAAACTCTAGGGGCAAGTGTTATTTTTGTTACATTAGACCATCTCCAACCATCTAAAAATGGCCTGCTATATGCTAAAAAAGGAAAAATATAGAATTTCTCCAAAAAAAACCCAGCTCCAACGGGAGATGTAAACTTTAGCTCATCTGCTAAAACCAAATCCTCAGTATATATACAATCAACTGTTGATAGATGCTAAATAAACAAAACATTGAAATAATCATGAACATTAAAAAAGTAGGTGATTGATGATTTTTTCTATGAAAAAAAATGAAATAATCTGTGATTAAAACACAATCAAAAAATATCTTCAAGCAAAAAGGAATAATCTCTTTTGACATTGATTGTCTTCATGCCGTCGTCCTTTTTCTTGGTAAT